AAAAAAAAAAAAAAAAAAAAAAAAAAACCAACAATAAGTCCAGTAATCTTCATGGAAATTGAAAAAAACTACAAAATCAAAGCTACGTAGTTCTATAGCCCAATCTTCTTCCCACGGATTTTTAACTCGTCATCTCAATTATTGTATCAATCATAATAATAACTAATAATTACCGCCATGCACACGAATCTTCCGGAAGGCCATCGGCGCACGGTAGGCCGAGCGTAGAGCATACGCCGCGGAAGGCGGCGTCGAGCGGGGAAATGCGCGGCGAGGGAGGATAGCTGGGCCGTGAAGTTCGCCGTTATACTGTTCATCTTTTTGCTTTAGCGGCTTGAGGTTTTTGGTAGGGTTGTGGATAAGGGCGCGAATTAGGGGGCGATTGGATATGAATTGTAAAGTAAAAAAACCAATCAAAACTCAAATTTAACTCAACTTTAACTCAACCACACTATCTCTAATATTATTAATATAATTAATAATATCAAACTCATCATTCTTACACATCACATCAACTTTAATTCACTATTCATCCACTCACATAATTTTAACTAACTATCATTTTCAATCATTTTCTCCTACTTTTATATCAAATCAACTTTAATTATTTTATTTTAAATATTATTTTAATATATCCACTAACAACTAACCATACCACTTTTTTTTTAAACTTAACTATAGTTAAGAAAAAACTAGTTTTTTACTAGTTGAATTCATATACAATCACGCCCTTAGAATCGATTAATTTGACCCGCTTTTTTGTTTTCTATTCCATGAAAAAACGTTGTCTAATTAACGATTTAACCCATATATTTGAGTTTGAAGTACTAAAAGCGTGTGGCGTGATATAGGCCCACGAAATGTGCACAAACTCGGTTCGGCTCTATAAGATTCAGGATATGCTCAATTTAGTGACGAACCAAACTGAGCTCGTTAAAAGCTCGTTTAATTAATGAGTCCGACGCGAAACAACTCGTTAAAACTCAAAAATTATTAATTTTTATATAAATTTCTTTAGGTCAATTTGTTAAGATTCAAGCTTGATTCGTTAATATTGATGAATCATACTAGCTAAAGCTCGATTATTGGTCCACTAAATGCATGAGTTTTGAATACGAAGAGATCGAGCACAACTCGGCCTGTTTTTACTACTGGATTTGGACAAATTTGTTTTAGAATTATTTAACGAAACGAGTCGCTCGTTATCTCGACATAAAATAACTCGGTTCGAGCTCGATTAGTTTATATTGATAAATCGAACGAGTTGGATCATGTCTATTGGCTTGTTTACACCTCTCGATGGTTTGAAGGGATAATGATTTTGGGTGAAATTTGAATCAAAGTGTAACATAGATGATTCCAAAAAGTAGAGTTGTTTCTATTTCAATTTGACCTAATATAAATATTCTCCATTATAAGAAAATAGGAAGAATAGATGAAAAAAAAAAAAGAATAATCAAACCATTTTCCCACCACAAAAATCAATGCACCAACTGCTGCTTTTAAGTTTTAACTTGGAACGCTGAGAAAGCAATAAAGACAGATGGCAATAAAAACAAAATAGTTATGATTACCAAACAAAAGAAAAAAAAAAAAAA